TCCGATCGGCCATTAGCGCTTTCGTAAGAACGTTTCTTGTCTTTGAAATCCCGCGGTGACCTCTCTCTCGAGCTTCTATCTTTATCACGTGATGTTCTATCACGATCTCTTGAGCGTTCTTTGTCTCTGGAGGATCTTTCTTTTGAGGATCTGAAAAGCGCAGCACATTCGAGAATGCAAGTCAGTCATGAATCTGTAGCTACCAAACAGCATTTTCATTTTACATTTTTCTTCTTTTTCCAACCCAACTTTAGATTTATATGAATAGAAGCGTATGGGAAGACATCAGTGATCATTCTACTCTCCCCCCTTTCCCACTTCCAATTTCAAAAGACAAATATTGCTAGAGGCAGAATTGAATCTACATTTTTTACAGAGCTCAGATTAAGGTCGGTGTGCTTCACTAAATCTCTTACTTTTGACCTCCGCCCTCAAGCTTGCACTAACAGAAATTTAATTGAAATTTCTCATCTGTAGTCTCTAGCTTGAGAAGAACGTCTAGTCAATCTCAGATATATAAATTACAAACTTAAATGTGTTTAAAAATGGGAGTTTGATTAAAAGCAGGGGGAACTTAATTCTGGAATGAGGCTATTACATGACAAATATAAAACCAGATCTGGGATCCATGCTACAATTAAGTTTTGTTAGAAGAATTATCCCTTGTGTGATTTGCCAGCATTGGGGTGGTGGTGGTGTTTTTAGCTGTCTTACAGTGATAACAGGCATTTCCAAAAGCTTTACAATACAGACAGAAAAGAGCTGTTCTGCTAAACAAACCACGTAGTTTTAAATTGAGCTACCTGTACCCGAAGAAAATTGGATTAGACATCCTCCTCTATATTGACTCAGAGTGCCCCTAAGCCTGTGGTTAAAAACCGTCACATTTTCATTTTAAGATGTACTGCAATCATAAAAGATTCTAAGACATACTTTCACAGAATAATTGTAACAGCACGCTATGAAGCTAGTCACTAATTTCTTAGTCAAAAAACCTGGTGTACTGGACAGCGAGACCGTACTCTTTCCACTTACAGAAAGTTACTGTTATCACCTCAGAGCTTCAAAACTGAAGTCTGCAAAATGCTCCTGTACCAGTTTCCTTTTATAAGCGTACAAAGAAGTGACCTTTCATTTTAGTTCCTCAGCTGGAAGGATTACTTCCCCTACACTGCAGCGTTTTGCAAACGCTGAGATCCACGGGCATTACTCCTATTCCACAAACTACATGTCGAACAAGAAGAGGAGCTACCTGCCAAATAAGAAGTTAACACTGGAGTTGTTTCAGCTGTTTCACAAGTATTTTGTGCTGCAAGTCTCCTGCAGAAGTAACGCTTCCGAACTGGTTGACTCAGGCTAGCTCTAGTAATTAATCCTAGAACAGGCAGACAGACAGGACATGACACCACCCACAGCTTTGGCTTTTCATTCCACTCATTTTTGGTGGAATATAAGGTGCATTCGTCCAGCCATCCCACCTCTCTACAGGTGAGTCTCTATTCAGCTGACAAGAAGGAAGACGGGCTTTAACGAACCACAGCACAGTGATGGGAAAGCGTGCACAATTGCTTTAGCAAGCAGTATTACCGCCAGAAATTAAAATACCATTCCTGCCTTTCTCAAGGGCAAGGTACAGCCTTTAGAATCAGAACCTCTACTAGGACTTACGTTACCTAGAATGCTTGGAAAGCATTACTCCTGAACTGATCAAGTGGATTCTTCAGCAGAAACTGACCCCTTCAACAGATATGTGGGCAGCATCCACCCTGTCATGGTCACCAACTATGAATCGTGCTATAATATGTGATGCTGTATAATATGTTCCAAGACAGTATCTGTGGATGCCTGCCTTGGGTCTGAGGACAAAATACACAAATAGCCTTGGACAAAAATCCTAGAGCAGCTTTGGAAGCCTGGGAAAATCCCAGAACAGCCAGTCAGATCTAGGAAAGCAGGGAAAGATGTAGCTACAGTTTCAAACCCTCCCAGGGGTAAGATGTTTGACTAAATGGGTCTGTGCTGCCCAGCCCAGCTTCCTCCTCAAAAGCAGGGGTGGACAAGGCGGAATGTACTTCTCTAATTCTCTTCCACAGCAGAGAATTAGCACAGGGCTAGAATATTCTGTTGTCGACCTGGATCTGAAGGATATTTTTAAAAAAATTGTCTAGATGCTAAGAGTGGGACCTATCTCACCCGGCTTTATATGTCTGCAGCGCAGACACCTAAGCTAATCCACCAGATTTCCTTAACAGTCAGCAGAAGAAACAGACAATTTAAGGCACGATTTGTCTCATCTTAAAACAGACACAAAATTATGTCAGATGAGTCTGTAATGAGACTCACAAGATTTACATCTGACCTAGTCATCTAAAGCCAGGTGAAGCGAAGCCCCACCCCACGACTTCAGGTATTCTGCCTGTACCACGCCTGCATGGGAGTACCTGCGCCCTCGTCACATGCATTCTTGTCAGTGGGCTCAAGTGCGCCGACACAACCATCTCTCAATTGACCCACATTTAGGTCTGCTGTCGTGCTTGATCTTATCATTGAGTATGCATCTCAACATCTAACTGCAAACATTCGCTTTCTCATTACAAATCAATAAGCACAAATTAAGTATTTTGTTTCTAATGAGATGAAAGATGGCTCATAGCAGTTATTTGGAACTTACAGCTAAGAGCGAGGAAAAGTAGGACTTTATTTAGACCTGCTCTTGCTAAGCCAGTAATCCAAGCCTGCGTAGTCCTAGTGTTCCTTCTACCTTAGGCAGGTGGCTGTTATTACCATAGGGGTCCCCGTTACCTTGGACACACTGCTGCTATTGCCAGACACCTTGTGTACCTTCAGCTCTGCCCACAGAGTGTGGAGGTCTGCTCCCTGTGTTTGAAATTTGAAACGAGATCCCAGCCATTAAGAGATTTAAATCTCTCCACCTGTTCATACGGTTGATGATGATACAGATTAAAGAAAACTTGTTTGTCAGGCAAATTTATGCAGTCGCCAAATTTCCTCAGACATAGTGCACAATAACATCCCCTTACTTTCACAATGAAGAAGCATCTGAGAGGTGGCAGCTATTCATTTTATGTGAAAGGCTCTTTGGAAAACACTTTCTGAAGAAGGGTGGACAGGAAAATCAGAAAGAACTGCACGGTTTGCTGCAAACAGTAATACTCAGCACATGTTTGCTTGTGATAATGTTGTTATACAGAACAGAACGGGGAAATGACTGCCAGCAGCAGCACATCAAGAGTTTTTCCAGTAATGAGCCTAATTGTCTAGCATACTTACATGTTGAAGCCATAATGGATGCAATCAAAACTGAAAAAAACCCAGACACATAAATAGCTTCTACAGCAGGATTCAGCAGCCTACAATAACTATATTTTATGGTACTTTAACCAAGCCCAAAAATCACGCTAAAGGCTTTAGGTTAACATAAAATGATGCGACTCTTCCCACATAGCAACCACAACTCCACACTTCTCTTCAGGCCCTGGAATTAGTGGCACCATGGGCTGCCACTGCTGCAGCCTGGAGCTGTCTTTCTGGTGCCACACTCTGCTCTTCCGCAAGAGTTTGGCAAAAGCACCACGTTCCCCAGATCCAAATTTATTCAAAGCCAAAACACTACAACTTTCCTGAAGAAGTTAACTTGCTGGAGTGCGTCTTTTATTTTCCAGAGTATTCTTGGCCAGAATTCCTTGGACAACTGAATGTTTTGAGCTTAAGGAAAAGAGTCTTGAATAAAAGTATTTCCTATCAGGATTTTAAGAAATACCTCAAAAAAAAAGTTTAAAAAATAGGATTTGGCAACAAGTGCTTTGATTAACAACTACCCTGGATTATAAGAAGAGCTCTTAGGAGACAATGAAGTAGATATAATACATTTGAGCCTGCACGTCCAGGTTTATTTTGGATTCTGGCATCAACAGTGGTATGGCGTTCCAACAGAAAGACTTCTCCCACGTTCATGTGAAAAGCAGCTCTAACGGCTAGAGGGGCATCTCTAAAAAGGAGGTACCCAGCCTGGCTGTAGGTTCAGTAGCTATCCTGGTCCCAGTGCAGCAGGATCGTAGCTCTAAGGGTTCTTCAGTCTCTTGAAAACACAATACACATCCTTTAAGAGCAAAAATTTTGCTTGACCTCAGAGAAGTAAGAGGTATGAGCTGCTAATGATGGGACAGCAATTTTTTCCCCTCAAGCTGACAGCAATGCAAAAACTCTTATTTGTACCACAGATTCTTCCCACACAGGTGTGTCTCATTCCTTCAGGGCAGGAGAAATATTTCCAGTACTGAATATCATACAGGTGAAACCTTGTGCCCTGAAGTATGTTACATTTTTTAACTCATTCACACAAAACAGGTCTTGAAGGGCTTATCCCTTTTATAGCATCTTGCAAAAGGACACTGACTTAATCTTCAAATCATCTTGTGCTTTTTCAATTCACCTTCGGCAGCTGAGACTGACAGGTTTACTGTTCTATGGATAGCACCAATGGTCCACACCATTTTCTCGTTCTTACATATTTCTCTGCCAACATACAGAAGGCAAGGCATCATTTGCATTGTGCATATCACATTGGAGAGTTTGAACAACTACTATGAGAATCCTGGAAAAATCAATCAGTATGGTTTTCTTCAAAGGACTGAAATTGAGTCTTGCAAGGCTGGAATTCAAAGTTGAAGAATTAAAGGCAATTTGAGCATACGCTCTATACATTGTGGTTCATCTAAGTTAACAAACGTGTTGATTCAAAGGAAAACGTCTATTTTAAGACCGAAAAAGTACAGGTTTGAAGATTTGCTAAACTGTCATTGTGAATGCCTTGAAGAGGCAGGCTCTTTTGGATAACTGATGACAAGCTACAATCCAGATGGAAATTCCTGAGTCCGAAATGTTGACTTTAGGACACCAAAGAACACCCTGAAGAATGTTAAACACCGACACTACTGACTGTATCACACAGACTGCTGGACATTTAAGTTTTACCCATCTGCAACAAAACCAAGGAAACAAAAGACTTGGACCAACCCTGTCTTCTATGATCCCTTACAGAGCACAATGGGACTACAGTCACCCACGTACTCCGGGAAGAAAACCACCTTCATTTTTAGGGCAAACAGCCCTTGAGATACTTGAACACATTCAACACAGATTTCTCCATCCTTGGTGATTTAACTCCTAAAGTCATTTGAATTACAAACCCTGCTTGTACAGCCACTTCAAAACCAGATCTTTTCTCTTCTTACAAGTCAACAGTCTGTCAGGGTTTTAAGATCAGGCACCCCGTCCACTGTACTGCACTCAAATCTATGCCATGGTGGCTGACCTATACAGGAAAGGAATCCTGGTTATGAGCAGACCTCCCTACCAGATGCCTCGTTGTGCAATTCCAACCCTCTTCTAAATTATGTTTACCTCGCCCATCAAAAATAAGCCAGCAAATCCTCAGGAGCAGACAGCAACTGAGTCATTGAAAAGCAACAGCCCCCGACTGCTGGCCGCAGTAATCCTTCAATGAGGGGTTGAGCCACTTTCCTTGCAAAGCAACATCTTCAGGTGCAATGCAACAGGTTTATTTTCAGGCATATCTAAACTTGTTTTTATCTGGCACAGTACAGAACAGATGGGCTCCAGTGCTGGTAATGAGAGCCCAAGGGAAGAAACAAACATGTAACAGCAAGACAACTGCTGATACCCCCGGGTTCAAATGGAGATCAACTGGTTTACTTTCTACCCCGTAGGAAGCTTGTAGTATTATCAACTTGACACCAATACCTTATATCACTCATCCAAAACAGAAATAATACATAACTCTATTATTTTGAGTTTAAAAAAAAATATAGATATGTATCACTACAGTATGTCAAATCAGAAATATGCTAAAAGTGTTACTGAAATCTGAGACAGTCTCAAAATGAGTCGAAATTACCAAGTAGTAAACGTAAACCTAATTTAGTGTGAAAATTCTCACCATGCATCTAGGAAAAGCCATTTATTTCTAGGCCAACATTTACCTCTTTTTGGAGCTGCGTTCTCGGCTTCTCTCCCTGGAACTATGCCTGCTTCTATGATGGCTGCGACTCCGGCTGCGGCTGTTAGAGCGAGACCTGTGACGATGGCGTTTCTCACGGGATTTGGAGCGAGTTCTCCTCTTTCGTTCCCGGGAGGCTGAGCGAGACCGGTGTCGGCGGCGATCTCGGGACCTAGATCTAGGAACAGAAAGGACTTAAACCAGATGCTGCATTCACCTAGCTACTCTGTCAGTGTTCCGTGAATATGATGCACTTCATGAATAAGCAAATCTGTGTAAGAATGGTCTGCAGTGTTCAGGGCTACCGCTGTCCTAGCACAGGCAAACAGACAGGGGAAAGCAACATCAGAAATCCTACAAAATCCTCTGTGGCTAATGCAGGCAATTTTACAGTGAATTCATGACTGTATGTACGGTTACAGCATAGCCAATCCAAGCTTCTGAAAGGAATTAAAAACATGGGAAAAATCTACTTTTTTATATTTTAAAATCTTGCCTTTATCAGGCAAAGTTGTGGAACTTCATGATGCAGCGATACGGATCATCTGCCAGAACCTATGCATTATGACGTTCTGAGAATATAGGACTATATCCTTCCCCATAGCCACTACAAGAAAACTAGTCTGGAAGGTTCCCAAACACCATACAAATTCATTATTTACTTTCTTTTTCTTTTCTTTTTTCTTTTTTTTTTTTTAAATCACTTTGCAATAAAAACTCACTGGTGACCTTCAGCTGTGTAAGTCAGGAAGAAAACTCGTACTATTGATGGGTTAACTGTTGAGAGTTAACCTGGTGCTTAGGATTTTGAAAAACATGGGTTTTCACCAAAAGGTATTAACCACAAGCTTGTGTTTTGAAGAAAGAGCAAGTTTCTGTCTTCTAACCATTATTTGGGACAAAAATTGGCATTGTAGTAGCCACAAAATAGACATAGCTACAAAACAGACACACAGGTATAAACTCAGTGGCATGGTGATCAATACTGTTTAAGCACACAGAGAGATGACTACATAATAAGAGTGCTTTGTCTGTAAAGACAGACATCTTAAACTAATAGTGCTAGACAAACTTATAACACTCCAACTTCATCAGCGAAGCCAGCCTTTTGCGTGTTCCTTGTTGGTAGATTTATATACCTTTTGGTATGCTTGCTGTGGGATCTGGACCTGAAACAAATGAAAAACAGAAAATAATTTTTTCTTACAGAATCTTATCAAATAAAGTACAACTCAGTTACAATAAACCAGACTAGTTAATCTGCTACTGTATTTCTTATTTTACTAGCAATTAAAGGCCTTTTATTTGATATTAACACCTTTGTAACATATTTACAAGGAAACATATCCCTCTGACAACTGTCTTGTGTTTGTTGGGGTTTTTTTTATTTATTTTTGAGCCCACCATACTATAAACCCAAAAGAACACCTAATCTGCTTTCCTATTCCCACCCCTCCCACAGAAAAAGCTTACAGCTCAAGTCAGTACTCCCTTGTTTGTCAGGCATGCATTATCAGACTGCATCAGATGTCAGAAGTTTACATGGTTAACCTCTGAAGCTAACATGTCAAGAGAACTGCAGTTCAGATTCCATTCCACTCCAGCCTCACAAGGCCTAGAAGCAGAATAGGAAACTACTTTCCTCAGTCATACATTCAACTACTTCCAGTAAGAAAAATTTCTAACATCTATAAAGAAAATACTGAACATCTGTTAGATGTTAGAAACTCACATGAGTGTAAGCTCTTATCTGTCATGTTTCAAAACCAGGCACACACCTGAACGTTATCTCCTTTAAAGGCCATTGTTCAAATATGTAGCGACACCTCTAGCTGTAGTTTTTAAAAAGGCAAATTGTTTCGGAAAGCATTTCAGGTTTTAAGAGTCAGACGTGACAGTCACTCTTAATCCTTGTAAGTTCCCACGGAATGCAAACTATTGTGATTCTGCAGATTTAGAAATGTGTATGAACTACATCATAGTTTTCCCACTAAACTTAAATAGGTCATTATATATATATGCAACTAAAATAGATACCCACCTCCTTAGTTTCTCCCTTTCTTCTCTTTCTCGCTCCTCTCTACGTTTCAGACGTTCTTGATTTCGTTTCTCTTGCTTATCAGCCACAATCCTCTAAAAGCAAAGGAACACATTCATTAAGTTACATTTAAAAATTTCTCAGATGTAGTTGCTATAAAAATAATCTAGACAGTTAACACTCAGTTCTTTCCCTCATGTATATTCCCTTTCCCTTGTGTATATTATTCCCTCTCTCTTCCTCAGTATACTTTTTTTTTTTCCTCCAAGAAACAGAAGTTATTGCAGAAGAGCTGCAGCAAATAGATGGGTGTTACACGAAGACCTGAAATACGTAGAGTTATATTAAGTTTTCCACGAACGGGAATTCAGAGCAGTAAGTCATGCCATTAATGTGAGAGTTTCCATGCCAATCCTGTCATGTTTTGGCCACTGGGGAAAGGTAGGAAGGAATCAGAACTGGGAGAGTTAATTGTTTTATTAACTCCTTCAGCTATGTTGTGACATAAAGAACTCCTTAGTCTTAAAGGACTTGCTTGGGCTGACACCTAGTTTTGAGGCTACTTGTTTCTGTATTGTGAACAAGAGACATATAATTAGAGAGGATGCTTCAGCTGATAGCCCCCAGGTTGAACTCACTACTACTGGGGACAAGGCACGCTCAGTAGAGGGCCCTCAGATGTGGAACTCACAACTGGAGATCTGGCCAAACCCAAGTCTCGCCACCTTCTGGACATGATGCAAGAAATTCAACTCTTTGTAAAGACCTTCTTCTGAGATGTGGAATTGCCCCAGCAGCATCTTGATTAGATCTCTGAGGAGAGCTCTGAGGAAGGAGGGGATAGTTATTGTTTTCTTTTTTTGTTAGCGAAGTACTTCAAAAGATTATTTTATCGATGCTTTGGGAATGTGCAATTATTATCCATGCATTTTTTTTCCGAAAGGTGTAAATAATCAGTTATTTCAACCCTTCATGTCAAATTACATCTATACTTCCTTGAACAGTATCAGTGATTTAACGACAAGCAAGGTTTCCTGTTCAAGTGACTCTTTGCATAATTTCACTGAGGGATGAGAGGAAGCACACGTGATCTAGGTCCGAGTTACAGCAGCTGTGTTTAGGAGCCTGAATTGCCAATACAGTCAACGGAAAGAGTTGGGCTTTCCAAAGGCTAAGTCACAGTATCCATGCAAGACAGATGGAATATTACGAAATATAAATTTCATAATTTGCTCAAGCCAATTTACTCAAACTCAGCAGCAGCACTGCCTGCTTTTAGGGCTTCAACTCATTCAGCGATTGTCTTTAGTGATTTCTACAGTTAAATGCTTAACTGAGCCTTGAACTCCATAATTTGCATATTAAGGTCATAAATGGCATCAGTGTCCAAATCCACCCTCTTGAATACCAAAAGTCTAGAACATAATTCCAGTAAGTCTTTCTTCCAGCACACAATTTCTCGTCAAGATAGTGTTGTTTAGGATAATATTCCAACTGAATTTCAAATCTTCCAAGCTACAGACAACATGCAACCATGTAACAATTACTTTAACAGCTAGCCTGACTTCTGACATACACCTCTTTGTATTCTGACTTTGGATAGCTACAGCTTTCAGTTGTTGGAGCTGATTTCACGTACTGTCAGTTCAGCTTAAAAGCCTTCAAAAATTACTTTAAGGTTGTTCGCACCTACAGAATGAAAGTCATCCCCCAATCTTTGTCCAGATAAAATAAACAAATTGAGTTTTAGACTTTCACCATACAGCAGGCTGTTTGAGGTCCAAGTATTTCTGTAGATCTTTTTTTTTTTTTGAAGACTTTGTCGTGTGTTATCATCCTCCTTACGTATTGGTACCAAAACGGAGGATTTCATCACCAGCCCTACCAACATTTAATCCTAATTAAATAAATAAAATGTCACTCACTTAGGCCCACTATATGTTCTTGTATTTTCAGAGTCTCGTTACTACTTTTAGCCAGTCAATCGGCTAAAAGTAAAGTCCATTTGGCTATCTCCTATGACCGCTAGATACTTTTCAACATCACTGTCACTCAAAATACAGTTCTCCATTTTACAAGTGGAATCGCACTCTCTCTGTTCCCAAGATGTCTTACTTTGAACATATGTTTTAATATACCTCAGTGCAAAAGACGTTATCAAGTGATCCAGATAACTGATATTAAGTTAGAATGTTTAGTGTTTTGTAGACTAATGAAATCCCAAATTTTAAAGTAATACGAAAAAAGTTCACATGCCCAGAAATAGATATTCCATTAAGGTTGCCTGGCAAATAATTAAGTAGGAGCACACACATATACACACACAAAAACATAAGAATAATTTACCCTGAGTTCCTCAAGCTTCTCTCTTATTTCAATAAATCCTAAATGCAGTTTTCCTCCAAAGTGGTCAGCAAGTCGTCGGTCATTGTCATGAAGACCAAGATAAGCTGAGCACACTTCACAAACCCGTAGCTTCTGCTGCTGAAAGCTGGAGGCAGGCATAGAATTCCTGTATACTTCCTAGAAAAAGCAATTTGCTGTTACTTCTCAATGCACAGAAATACAAAGATAACGATTTACCAGAGATATACTTCAAACTGATAAATGAATTCAATGTACACCAGCACAGCCCTTAGTTAATTCATACTATTCATAAATCAACCGTCTCGTAAGATACAGGGCAGGCTGCTCATTTTGAAGACTGGACATAAAAGCAGGACATCAGCAACTGGTTTTGCAAATGAAACAGTGGGGTGATTATTACCCTTACTTAACATCATACGACTTCGAAGGATGCACAACTTGCTCATATGCAGCAATGTGGTAACATATTATGAAAATATTACGCCAGTTTTAATTCTGAACCCAGTTTAAGACAGTAGTAGTTTCCTGGGAAATCAATCTGCATTTTAGACATTAATTAAACAAGTTATGTGAGCAAAATTTAGCTACAGACACTCAGATGACAGACAAGCACGACTGTCAGCAACCCCAATGGTACCATTAAACAACTGTAGATTTAAGTATCTTGGTGAAATACGATACGGAAACACTCTTGGTGAGTTCTGCCACCTGAACATTACAACAAGGACCATTTTGACTTGCCTGATGCACAAGCCATTGACTAATTATCATTCAGTGAAGACAGTGGTTCACTTCACTGAGGCTTTCCAGTAGGAGCTACATCAGGACACCACAAGGCACAATGGGGTTGCCACCTCAAGAGCCGGACTGACATTGTTTGGTCTTACAACAAACAGACAGAACTGTACTGTCCACAGATACAACTGGCCAATACAGCTAAACCAAGATAAATGCATCAACCATGTAAGTGAGTATTATTTTAATAGTATAGCAGTGTATTTAAAGGTAGGAACTTTAACTGTACAGGATGCCACAAAGCAAATTCTTTAGTTTTATATGAAGCAATTAATTAAGGAAATGACAGCAGATATAGACACAGAATCCTAGAATCATAGAACAGTTTCGGTTGGAAGAGACCTTCAAGACCATCGAGTCCAACCTTTGTCCTAGCTCTATCAACACCACTAAACCCTGTCCCTAAGTACAACATCTACCCGTCTCTTAAACACCTCCAGGGATGGTGACTCCACCAACTCCCTGGGCAGGCTGTCCCAATGCCTGACAACCCTTTCAGTAAAGAAATTCTTCCTGATATCCAGCCTGAACCTCCCCTGGTGCAGCTTAAGGCCATTTCCCCTTGTTCTATCGCTTGTTACTAGGGAGAACAGACCGACCCCCGCCTCAGTACAACTTCCTTTCAGGTAGTTGTAGAGAGCGATCTTGCATTACACAGATGCCAACCACTTCAGTACTGAACCCTGCCCTCTCCATCCCCCAAGCCTTACGCAATTAACTTACTTCTGCTTCTCTCTTCTTTACCCGAGCCTTTTCCACTTCATCCATTACTTTTTGGGATTCTTCCACATTCCCATCAGCTCCAAGCTGTTCTACTTTGGCCAGCAGTTTCCCAATTTCTTCATTCAATTCATGAACTCTTTCAGCCTTGAAAGAGAAGGAAAGGCTTACCAAAGGAAATGCTTTTAATTATGGAGAACAATCTGAACCACTACTAATACTGAATATATGCAAAATCGGTACAACAGAACTAAAAGAAACATGCAGAGATAACTTCTCCAGGTAAAACAAAAGTTGCCTCATGTAAAAACATACAGAAAAAGGCTGAGTTACCAAGTCTATGTACCAAGTCAAGAGCAGGATTTTGTTCAGAAACTTCAAGTAATTCACACTGTTGTCTATACCACATTGTCTTGCAAAATTAATGTTTGTGTAACCATCCCTCCTAGCATGTGCATATACATGCAGAAAAACAATAGAAGTTTTTTCAGTTAGACGATCTAGAGAAAAGCGTATCAAATTTTGTTTACTTCATGGATGAAGTTTTGATCAAAAAGAACTTCTAACATTTTTATGGTGTGATGTCACAGAGAGTCAAGTTTCCTCAGCTCAAAAATACCAGAAAGGTCATCTCTTCCCTGTGTTCTCTTCTCCACCCTTTAAAGGCAGTTTTGGGAAGGATGAAGAAAAAGTCTCCTCAGTATGAATTCTCGGATTTGATAGCTTGCCAAAGCCTTAAGTTCGCTCCTTAGAAAAAACAGACCTTTAAAGAAACTTCAGTAACTAGTTTTACATGCTTACTTTAGCTGCCACTTCAGCACTGATCTCTTCTTGGGTTTCTGCTAGTCTTTTCTTGGCCACTTCTGTTCTCCTGTCGCAGTCTGCAATAAATGACTGCAGGTGGTCCATTGCCTAAAACATCAGTAAGAACACTGATCAATGCTGTCAAGAACGTGAATATTTCATTAGCCTTTACTCTATCAAGTTTTATTAAGACTTAACTTGTGTAAGTTTTTATTAGCAAAACCTTTGTAAAACAACAATCTAACAATTTATAGTGAGTGATCACATATACCAATACAACATTTTAAAAAGCACAGTTTCCATGTCATAGGTAGAAGTATTTGTAGAAATTTGGAAGTGAATCTGTCTTATGTCTTCTCTAAGAAATGAGCATTTCTAACACGCATTAAAATCACAGAATAGATTCTATGATTTTGTATTCAGGTTCACCTCACCCAGCCGTTACATGTAATATTCTTAACTTTTTTCACTAGGGTTTTAAGCTATTAAGTGTATCAACACCATCACTCCAATGACAACAAAAAAAAACCCAATCCAACCCTTTTTGTCTCAGTGAAGGCTAACTTTCTAGCTGGGAGTTCAAAACAGTATTATTCCAACTATGGTGCACTGAGACATAGCATGTGATCCATTATCCCCAGTACAAAACTACTTTCTTCAATAAGCATAGAATTTAAGACTTTTCAAAGCATAAATAGCCTTAACATTTACTTGCTATTTGATAGCACTAAGGTAGGATCCAGGTTTATGATAATTTGTTCTGTGGAAGGCTGTTAACAGTTCTACGTAGAGATGACTACCAATACAAATGATATACTTGCACATAATCATGAAGAGGCATGTATCTCTTATGTAGCTCTTGCTAAGCGTTCCTCTGCCTCTTTCTATAAAACTACTTTACAAAAGTTTCCTTCTGAGCAACAAAACTTAACTTTCGTTGCTCAGTTTATCCACCTAGGAACACAAATAATGCTTTCCACCATTAAGACAAAATACATACATCAAGCTCAAAGAAGAAATCTTGATCTTTGGATGCTATTTCATAGTCTGCCCTTAATGCCAGGTCGTGCACCTTCAGACATTCTCCAAGGTCCATTCTCTGAAAAGAGGCAGAGGCAAAGCGGTGTGACTTTTCAGAAGTGTTACAATGAATGAAATTAGCACAATTTTCTTTAACAAATATTCTGAAGCAAATCACCTCCCCAGGAGAGTAAAACGACATAAAGCTATTAGACAATACCGGATCTTTAATAAAAGCAGGCAGAATGAACAGTTTATCTTATGATGATCTAATTGCATTACAAAGTATCATTCATGTCCCGCGAAACTTCTGTTTTACTTAAAATTCAAAAAAGTGACTGAAGTGGGACATCCTGTATTGAATTAAAACAGCTTAGGACAACCAAGTTCTCTGAAAATAACCGGCAATTAAATGGTCAAATGCTTGACATGAACTGCCTGCACACTCTATGGTATGTGTTCCAGTTATATCATCACCTGAAATAGCTACAATCACAGCACCACTGTAAGTGCTGCTTAAAAACCATTCTTGAAGGATTTCAAGTTAAGATAGGCAAAAATCAAATACCAGCAAAGCATTTTGCAGATGAGTGAAGATGAGCTGCATGTTGGACTATGTTCAAGAATCAGGGAAGAAAAAGTATATAGATATTTTACTTGTAGTCTAAAACTGTTCTAGAAAGAGCAAGAAGGAAGCTGCATCATTGATCTTGCATACAACGCCACTGAGAAGAGTGCCCAGAATCTTATTAGGTAACAAATATTGGTTTTAAATTGAAATTTGCATACCACACAGCATAAGGAATTCTAATTCAATCTGTTCCCTGAAAGTTTGTTTGGTGATCAAGACAGAGAAACACGCACACAACAAAAAAAGAAAAACCAAAACAAATCAAAACCCAAACCAGAACAAACAACTCCCCCAAAATGGTTTGTAATAAAACCAAAATCGACCAAAACCAAGGCACCCTCTCTTCAAAAGCACAGACTGATGTGTAATCATTGAAAGTGATTATTATTTGCATCACTTTAAAACAGCACAGTTTCGGTTAAGTCTGCTCTTGGTACCGCTCACTTAATACTAAGAAAAATCACTCTTTCCTTAACACTGAAAGCACACGATGAAAGTCGAACTCTGATGGAAAAAGCTGTTACTGTTGTTTTAGAACTAAAACAATTAATAACTTCTGTTGTGAGTTTTATAAATAAAAAATGAGCATTAACTCAAACTGCTGCAAGTCACTTGGATCTGAGCCAAATAAGTGGGTTTTTTTAAGAAATAAAATACTTGCATTCAAGTAGCAATTCAGGCCTCAAGTATAGTAAAAAAACAAAACAAAAACTGTCAATTGCTTTCAACTTCTCAAATCATCAGTTAGATGTTCCAACAAACCCATTAAAGTAATTTTTATGAAGTTGTTGGTTTGTTTCAAATGTTAAGAGACAGAAAAAAACGCTGTTAAAATACAGGATTTCGAACCCTTCAGTAAATCTGACTGCAATGCAACTACAGAGGACCTCAGAAATTTTAACTAATGCAAATCCACCAAGACCTTGAAGTTGAGCACTGCATTATTTATTTCTAAGTCATTAGATGCTGACATTATTTAAACTGCAGCATTTTTTCAGGCACGTACTTCAGTCAGTATCAAAGAACATTTTAAAATAACTATCTGAAAATTAAACACTTAAAAATCCTTCTAAAACTGTGAAAAGCTTGTCTTTATGCTGATCCATCACTCGTGCTGATAAGGCATTAAGGTTAAACTGTAAAACTCAAGGCCAACCCTGTTTTAAGTGAAGCATTCCAGTTGTAAAAGCATAGATAAGGCTAGATCTGAATACAATAACAAAAAGCCTGAAACACATCCACGTAGCATCAGAAAAGCGCTATTTTAATATGCAATCTACATACACTTGGAATAAGTGCATGAAATAAAGTGCCATTCTAAAAAAACAGAATTCACATGACACTACCATGACACACTGTTCACTTTACATGTGTTAATATGCTTCTTTTCGCTTGATTCGGGTTGGATTTGCCCTTCTCAAGACAGTATATTTTCTGATTTCTTCTCGCTGGGAATTGTAAATCCATAGCCTGAAAGGACAGTAATTACTCTGAGCCAGCATTACTACTGAAAAATTTTCTGTCCTCCCCTTCTCACTGTGCTGTGCCACGCCATGCTGGCACATCTGCCTGGGCAGCTGAACACAATCTACGTACTGACTGTGTACAAGGTATCTTAGCAAACCAAAAACAGAGGCAATTTTTCAGCAGTGTACCTTTGTCCAAGTTGTCAGGCAGCCACACAAACAGATGTGCTGACAATATGTAGTGGGCAATGTAACAGTGGACTTGAGCAGCTAGGATCTCTTACAGGATAAATATGCCACTTCAGAAACTCTCGAATCACTTCAGTTAGTACTAGTGGCAATTTTGGGGGATGAGGGGGGTGTTACGGAGGATTTCTTTTTGTTAGGTGTCTCAATCAGAAACCAGGAAATTTTCATAGAATACTTTGGGTTGGAAGGGACCCGTTAAAGGCCACCTAGCCCAACCTCCTGCAGAGAACAGGGACATCTTCAACTAGATCAGGTTGCTCAGGGACCTGTCCAACCTGACCTTGAATGTTCCCAGGGATGGGTGGGCAACCTGTGCCAGTGTTCCACCACCCTCACTGTAAAAAATTTCTTCCTTCTATGACATCTAAATCCACCCTCTTTCAGTTTAAAACCATTGCTCCTTGTCCTATCACAACAGGCCCTGCTAAAAAGATTGCCCTCATCTTTCTTATAGGCCCCCTTTAAGCACTGGAAGGCCCCTATAAGGTCACCCTGGAGCCTTCTCCAGGCTGAACAAGCTTGACTCTCTCAGTCTGTCCTCACAGGGGAGGTGTTCCAGCCCCCTGATCATTTTTATGTCCCTCCTCTGGACTTGCCTCACCAGGTCCAGGTCTTTCTTGTGATGAGGACTCCCCTTTTGGCTTCTCCTCTTCAATCCAATAGACTTGCAGTCTCATAAATATTCATGTGACGTAATAGACAGGCAGCAAGAACAAGCAGGTACAAGAGAAAAGGATTCTTTTTCATTAGCTTTGCTGCTAAATTGTATTGTTGTTGGAACTGCTCCTTAACACAGCCTGTACTAGTCTTGGCTAATACTTTGAAAGCACCTTCATAGAAATATTACTACTAAATGTCTTTCTTAAAAGTTCTATTAGCAAACCCCAGTGTAAATAGACACAAAAATACCCCATTTAAAACTTTCAAACCAGCGTGCATATTATATGCAAAATCAGGCTAAAAACCACTTCTGCTGGTGTAAGTTATACAACATCAGACAAAGACAATTCATCTTGGTGACAATTCATTACAGTCAAAAGTCTGTGCTGGATCAGAACTGCTGAGGACCTTAAAGCACAAAGCAGCTCATATCATAATTTGGCTCATACAGCTATCTGCCAAGTAGATGGACAGCAGATGGAAATGGACAAAATATACAGTAAGACACATTATTTTCATTTTCCACATGTCCACCTTGTGATTTGGTGCCAAGACATGCCCCTCCTCAGAGGCAAAGAACAAGCATTGGCAGTCAGCCATTTCAAGATCAATCACATTTGAAACAAAAGATGGCTGTGATGGAGACTAATGTTCAGACATTGTGCTACTAATGACTGCTCAAAAAGAACGCACATAAACTGTTTTTCACTGTCGATACACCGACTTTCAGGCAGACTTACACTATTTAAAGTGATTTACAGAGGAATCCTGATAAGTAAAGCAAATAAAGAAAGGAGAGAACATCCAAGTCCTCAGGCTAGACATAACTGAAGTTTATTGAATATGTGAAGCCATGGTTTGGGGCTTTTTGCAGTTACCGCACTTTCACTGAAGATTAAAACCAGAAAAAACCCTACATATTTGGAGAAGCTTTCTTACAAGTGAGAGCTATTGCTGAAGATTAGTCTGGAAAATAGTCTAGGCAACTACATACAAGGCAAGATATCAGGAGTCCTTTTGTAATTACCGAGCTCTGCTTAAGAAACTCATGCCTTCTACTAAAAACCTGCTAACGATTTTCTGTAATACTTTTTCTCCATGTTAGATGGGCAATTAAAGCTACTTGATTTCCCAGAGCTCAGATTTAGACAACTGGTCCTTCATCCCAACCAACCTCATATTGAAATGATTCAGCAATCACTTTTGTCCTCACATTCACAAAATGGATAGAATGCCTTTGGTATCAATACATAAATACGGATTACATACATTTAGTTTATCAATGATGCACAGCTCTGCTTCAATCAAATCACATACAAAAAAAAAAAAAAGAGAATCACATGAGTTAAGTATGAACAGACAAGGAAGAGCTGCCCAAGGACTTGGGCAATAGAGCATCTGAAGTTTACCTGCAAAATAAACATGCACTCAGAGTAGCTGATACTAATAACAGAATCAGAGATTAAAGTCTGATGTGATGCTGTTTCTGAACGTGAAATTAAGGCGGCTTTCTTTTTGAGATCTTGAGCTACCCACAGCAAAATTCCCATTTTGGCACTTTTATGACTAGTACACACTCCTTTGCCACCACAGTTTAGATTATTGAATGTACTCTATATGAAGTGCAAGAAGAACACAGAAAAGTCAAAGCTACTTAAAATACAGAGGGCTGATGTGGAGCCAAGTGTGACAAAGTAGCACACACTAACAATGCTTCTAAGAACAGCATGCATCTTTGATAGGTTTTTGACAGATGATACTCTGAGCAGTGTTTATGTAGAAAATTCTTTCTACCTATAAAGATATCCATACCAAAGTAGTTCACATTCAGAAAGAGAAGGATTTTCAGTTTGTTTGCTTGCTTCAGAAGATCTGACATTACTGAAAAATTTATATAGAAGGAACCAGATCTCTCCCCTTATAAAATTGTTAAGGCAACTACTGGTGCCTGTATGAGAACATCCTTGCTACTGACAAAAATAAGCTGCAAATATACTATTTGCTGAGATCTTCCTTATTACAGAACTCCCTTTTCATCTGCACTAACAATTTTGTTTCTGACAGATTTCTAGA